ACAAGACCGAAGTTTTACCTGTCATCTTCTAGTCGAGAAGTTGATTCTTGGAATGGCTGGAAGCTATTTCAGACAGTGTAAAAAGATTTACAGATATTCTTAGAAAAGAACATTTTCTAAGAATACTTAGAATACATTTTCATAAATACCTTAAAGTGAAAATATATAACTATATTGAATCTTTAAAAATAATACATAATCCTACTTTGAATAGATACTCATTTTTGCAAATTACTGTCGGCATATGGATATATTTTACTGGTTATAATTTGTATAATTTACTGTGTTACAATTTTTTTTTCCCACAGAACTGTCTCCTAAGCTGTTTCCTGTTTCTGTATGTTCTTAATGGTCATTTAAAAGCTAAATTTTGTTATTGTACCATAATGTGCTAGTTCAGCTCTTAATATTGAATATCTAATATACAACCGAATACTTAAACTGCATGTTCTTAATTAAGATGTATTGGCTTGTCCTGGTTTTGAGAGTAATATAATTCTTTATTTAAAAATTTTGAAAAAAATTAGGAAGAAATACCCAAAACTCTTTCTATAACTTGTTAATGAACTCTGTGAGCATTATATATTTTCCCCTTTTCTTCCCTAATTTTTAATTTTATTTTGCAGTTTGAGAATATACTATTTGTGTAAAACATACTCATTTTTACATATTTCTAAACTCAGGTTTTTTTGGCTATACCATGTAGCATTTGGAATCTTAGTTCCCTGACCAGGGATCGACCCCATGCCCCCTGCAGTGGAAGCGCAGATTCTTAACCACTGGACTGCCAGGGAAGTCCTTAAACCTTTAAAAATACCACTTTTTTGTTTTAAAAAAAGTGGAAGTTGCTTTTTTTTTTTTTTTTCTGACTATAATAGTAATTTGAAACTACTACAGAAAATTGAGAAACAATTCCAGGCATCCATAATATCACCCTGAGGCATATACCATTAATATTTTGGTTTATTACCTTCACATTTTATTCCTTTAAAGAAAATTTGAGATCTACTACCAGTAGTGGTTAATTTGGGGATGGCCATGGACTGTAAAGTAAAACCCAAGCTAAGAACTCTTACTCTATACATGAATAGACCCCTTTTTAAATTAAACATTATAAAACAGGCATTTAAGAATTGTTGTGAACTCTCATAAATCTGAACATCTGCTGATTGTTATGGGTTGGATTGTGTCCCCCTAAAATGCACTGTGAAAGTCCCAAGTCCGTTTATCTCAGGTGTCACCTTATTTGTAGATAAGGTCTCTACTGAGGAAGTCACTGGTGTGGGCCCTAGTCCAGCACGATGGGTATCTTTATGAAAAGAGGAAATTTGGAGACAGACCCAGATGGAGATGCTATCCATTCACAGGTCAAGAAGAGAGACCTGGAGTGGCTCCTTCCCTCATAGCTCTCAAAAGGCATCAACTCTGCTGACACTTTCACTTCAGACTTGTGATCTCCAGAATCATGAGACAATAAATTGTGACTGTTGCTGAGGTCACCAGGTGTGTGGTATTTGGTTATGGCCGCCCTCAAAGGCGAATATGCTGATTACGTGTATAATCTTACATAATACAGACATTTGGGTGCTGAGGTACTGTGCTGGGTTGGGAGTCCTAAACCAACAAAGTCAAGCTCTCTGGCTTTGAGGCGCTTAGACTGGCACACAAGGATTGAACCCTGGGGTCGTGCTGTGGGGGGCAGTGCTCAGGGCATCATGGGGGCCCAGAGCTGGCCCAGGGCTGAGGGCGGATTTCCCAGGAGAACTGCCACTTGAGCTGAGTTTGGAAGAACCACTGGGAGCTTACGAAATGTGTCTATTGTTGAACCTTAGGGTGTTTTTACTTTCTTGTGTTTTTCAATTATTTCTTTAGGATAGATTCACAGCAGTGCATTACTGAATTGCATAACATCCCAATGTGAAACTTGAAACATCATTTTTAGGGCAGTATAATATTCTAGTGAGTGGAAGTTTCCAGGTTTATTGAATCATCCTCTTTTATTGGATAAGACTCTCCCTGATGCTGTTTCCAGTTTTGCTATTATAAATAATGCTGTCAGGAACATCTTTTTGCAAAAAGCTTTCCCCACAATTAGAAGTATTTCCTTAGTGATAGAACCCTAGAAATAGAATTACAGTATCAAAAAAGTCAAATTATTTTTCAGAAATGCTGATTTACATTCCCGTTAGTAATCAAATAAAAGTTATGAACATATCCATTTTAATTTATTATAATCTTTTATACCCTTTGGGGGCTTCACTCATAGCTCAGTTGGTAAAGAATCTGCCAGCAATGCGGAGACCTGGGTTCGATCCCTAGGTTGGGAAGATCCCCTGGAGAAGGGAAAGGCTACCCACTCCAGTATTCTGGCCTGGAGAATTCCATGGACTGTATAGGCCAGAGTGTGTTAAAACAATTCAGTACTTCCCTCTTTTGAAGACTGAACCTTTCCTAGGAAGAAAAGTGAGATTTATGTTATTTGGGATGGAAGACCCCCTCCTCCTTAGATTCTTCCCTCCCCCTGAGAAAGACCTGCTTAAAGGGCGTTGCACCGTCACAGATCTGCCCACACAGCTTCTGTGCGGTTTCTCAGCAGCAGATGTGTGCACTAGCCTCTGCTTAAACTCTCTTAGGTCACACTGCTTATCTGAAATCTCATTGTCCCAAGAGATCAGCCTTCCAGGTGGGCTATTTCTGTTCTGTTCCAAGCTTTTTTCAAAGACTCTTGTCCTCTGCATTCTCTTAGACCCTAAATGTTGACAGAGTATCTGCTGTCGTAGGTAAACAAAAATCTCACAATCATGGTGACCTGCTAGACCTACGTGGGCATGAAGGAACCATTAGGAGTGATGGGGTTCTCAGTGAGAGAAGAGTTTGCTAACAAGCTTTGTATTGTTTCCTCATTTTAAAGGTGAGGTGAGGGGCTTCCCTGGTGGTCCCGTGGCTAAGACTCCCTGCTTCCCATGCAGGGGACCCAGGTTCAATCCCTGGTCAGGGAACTAGATTCCACATGCCCCAACTAAGAGTTTGAATGCCACACACAACTAAAACCTGGTGCAGCCAAATAAATAAATAATTTTTTTTTAAAAAGAGAACATTGAAGATAAAATTTGCCCTTTAAAAAAAAGTGAGTGTGAGTATATTTTATTCACTCAACTAGATAGTGAATATGAAGGAGCAAAGACTCACCTTAATTAGTTTTGTGTTCTCTGCCCCAAAGGATGCCCTGCATAATCAATTGATGCAGAATAATCATTGATATAATTTTTAAAAATGCCCCACTAGTTACTTAAAAAACTTTACTCTTGAAGTCAGGGGAAAAAAACAAAGTCATACCTAGTTTAAACACTACAGAAACACATATGTGGAAGGTTTAAATCTCTTATATTTCTATCCCATGAAGATGAACAACCATGTCTGCAATTTAGGATGTTTCTCTTTTTTTTTTAATTTTTTTTTTTTTTAGGATATTTCTCCAAATTTTTTTCCTAGCATTTAAAAAATATATAAACATCTCTTGCGTCTCCTGCATTGGCAGGAATATTCTCTACCGTCGTGGCCCCTGGGAAGCCCGGTGACCATGGTGGTGGTAGGGTGTCTACTGCAAGAGGAGGCTTGAAGAAGTCTCATCTGAATCTGCGTGGTACCCAGAACAGTGCTGGGGGCACTGTGGGTCAGAGCCGTTCTCTTGATTCTTTGCCAATGCAGATGGAGAGAGAAGCTTTCCTGGGGAGGAGATTTTTAGGGGGAAGCAGTCCCCCCTTAAGGAGGTCGCCCAGTCCCTGCGGACACTTTCTGACGGTGCTCCCTAGGACTCCCTCCTTTCCTCTGTTTCTCATTCCTAAATTAGCAGAGAGATCCTGCCCTATGAAATATTCATAAGAGTCAATTGACCGTAAAACACTTTGTAAATGTAAGTGCTGTAAGTGACCCAGATTATATCAGCAACTTTTTGAGAAATGGGCAGAGGAAGGAGAAGGAAGGTAAGGGATTGGATCCAGGGAGCCAGCCTTGCCATTTTCAGACCGTAATAAATGGGTCACGGATCCGCACTTTTGTAATTTCAGAAATGACTAAGGCTTGGACTGTTTTTGAGCATCACAAGAGTGGCTCCGTCTCAGGATAAGTCAGTCTTTGTACATTACACAGATTATGCCACTTTTTAAATCCATATATATTGTTTTCGTAGTCATCCTGTTTCCAGCTCGAAAGATCCTGAGATCCCATCGGTAGTCAGGGTGGGTCTTCTCACATCAGAGGCTAAGTAAGAAGTCCCTGAAGGCAGCTGGCTTGGAAGGAGTTTCTGCCATCACCTCTCTTGCGGAGAGGGGGGATGGGGTAGGTCTAGGATGGGGGTCTTGCAGGACAGCAGCCTTGGGTCTGACTCTTGGTGGGGTGGGGGTGGGGGGCAGAGGCAGTGTTTTTCACTATTAGACAGCCCTCCTTAGCATATGCAGATGCTGGCTCCATCAAGCCATCAACTCTTTGTTCTGCTGGCTGGAGCCCCCAGAATAAATCTGCTGTGTGTCCTTCCCGTCCCGCCGCGGCTGTTCCCCGCCCCCACCCTGTCTAAATCACTTCTTCCTCGCAGGACAGGATTCCTAGGATTTCTGCCCTCCGGGTTACCCACTCTCCTCTGGCAAATCCTACGTGGACCCTCTCGTCTTCCCCAGCCCCCTCCTCGTCCTGAGGGCCGTGTTTTTATAACAAATCCTAACACTGTGAAGTTGTTCAGCTTCTTGTTTCTACATATACTCCATTGTCTCACACTGACTCATAAGTGAGCTGAAACCCCAGAGCAGTTGCTTTTTGAGTGTGAGTGAAAGGTGGAAATCTCTATTTCTCTGAACTTTTTTTTTTTCCCTTTCAGCTCTTTTTTTTTTTTTTTCCAAGCCAGACAGACTTCTTTTGGAATTCTGATTCTGTTGGTCTTCTCTAAAGCATTCATCTCTCCCAGCGTGTTGTCCGTGGATAATTTGAAAAGCCTGTGATGTATTTACCTAGGCTCAGGACTCTTGAAGAGGGTGACAAATCCCTCAGGACGAGTTTGCCAGATGCCTGCTGGCAAGCCAGCGGCTTCCAGGCTCCATGGAGAGAGAGAAGGACCAAACCCAGGGTCTGAGTGCTGAGGGGCCGGGTCGGGGGAGCTTTGGTTTGACTATTGACATGTAAATGGTCAGAGGGGCCCGAGGCGGATCCTTCCAGACCCTCGCGCCATCCTTCCAACCACACAAAGCCCAGCCCTGGATGGCTGCAGGCTGCGCCCTGTGAGGCACCCAGCGTCCTGGCTGCGGAGGTAAGTCCCAGATCAGCTCTGCCGTGAGACTTCTGGGTGGGACGGTGCCTGGGGCCTGGAAGTTTCCCCAGGTACATGCGGTGGGACTGGTCTCTTTGGGTGTCGGTCGACAGAGGCTCAATGAAGGTTTTTGAAATGAAAAAGAATACTACTAAGTGATGATTAATTGGATTTGGTTTAAGAAGAATCATATTTGCCCACAGACATGTGCATATACAAAATTTGATGGTAGATTCTAGTTCCCAAGTACTTTCTGAATTTTACCCGAGATTTCTGTGGCATTGTTTTTGGCATCACGTCTCTATAGCCCCTCGGGCACAGCCCTCCTCTTTCTCTCTCTTGTCTCTAAGTCCTTTCCAGTTCATCCTCCCTTCTTGTTCTTGTAGTAATGGTAAATCGTGTGACTCATATAAGGAATGTCAATACGTGCTTTACACGTTAGAGAAGTGAAGGAGAAGTTATACACCATTAGAAGAATTATATGAATAATTTATATGAATTATATGAATAACCTTTACTAAATTATATGAATTTATATGAATAATTTATGAATAACCTCTACTAAAGAATGGAGCTGCTGAAGTTTGTGCTTTTTTCCCCCCTCTCTAAAACTAAAGTGGAAGAATTTATGTAGCTATAGTGTCCTAAATTTAACATGTGAATTATAAAAGTTCCATGTGCCAACTAAGGAGTGTCTCTGGACACCTAGCTCTGTGGGGATTAAGTCATCGGCCACAACAGGCGCTGACCTTTAACACCCCCCGAAAGGAGTTCAGGACAGACATCAGGAGCGAGACACTCTGTGCTCTGGGAAAAGCTAGCAGCCTAGGACCTCATTCAGTTAGATATTTTCAGGAGAAAATGTTATGAACCCAACTTGGTGCATCTGCTCATACCTGGAAAAGCCCTAAAATTGTTAACGGAGACGTCTGCTCCTTGTGACGTAATCGCAGCCTTCTACGGAGATGTGTGCTGGATCGTGTCCCCGCTCTGTCTCATCGTATATACTGCGACCTGCCCCTGCGCCTCTCAGAGCAGCTCCTCCGAGCCGAGAGACGTCTCCTGGCTATCGTCCTCAGAAAGTCCCAAATACAACTGCACTCAGAGCCCTGACGTTGTCCATTTTTTTCAGTGCACATTGTCACGCTTTGGACTGATTTTGTTACAAGTCCTTTAAGAACTAGCGAGAAATTATTTAAAATATAAGTTGAGATATCACATTCAGAATGAGTGCTAGTTTGAGTTAGAGTATCTTGATTTTAAAAAAAATCTCAAGGGAATTCCCTAGAGGTGGCTTGGTTAGGACTCTGGGCTTCCACTGCAGGGAGCACGGTTTCCATCCATCCTTGGTCAGGGAACTAAGACCCCGAATGCCCTGTGGCCAAAAAAAAAAAAAAAAAAAATCTCCAACTAAAAGGTATTATTTGGCAAAAGCTATCCCAAGTAGAACTCAGTTCCCTGACTGATTGAAGAGATGGTGCTTTAAGGAAAACATTTTGTTAATAAAATGCAAATGTTTCCAGACCTCACTTTCTTTCTCTGGTACAGATATTCTTGGCAGTGTGAGTTCTGCATACAGTGCATCCCATAGCCTTGAATATTGGTTGTTAGTTCAGACACTTCTTGGTCCTATTAGAGTAATTATGATGATAGAATTATGCTCCCATACCAGAGTACCCATAATGAGACTGAAAAAACAGCTCAGGCAGTCAGGCTTAGATCCAGAAGCCATAAATCCTGTCAGTGAAGTGTGAAGTTTGTTCTTAATTTTTAAGGATCTCATGCTCTAAGGAGCAGAAGTAGGTCCAATGGAAAGAGCACAGAACTGCTATGAGACATCTAGCTTCTCAGGTGGCCTGGGCAAATGACCGCCTTCCCTGCCCTCAGTGATGGACCAGGTCAGTGGTTCTGGACCAGGGTTGGCAATGTCCTTACGGGGCCCTCGGGAATGTTGAGGGGGAGCATTTCAAACTGTCGCAGTGTATGGAGGCGCTAACAGTTGAGGACCCCGGATACTAAAATCCTGAAATGCCGCCTGGTCCTGGGAAGGCTTGGTCCACTCAGATGCCAGTGGTGCCTATGCTGACAAACACTGAACCCACTGGTCGTCTCTGAGGTTCTTTCAGCTCTGTTTCCCTCAAGTTCACAGGCAGAGCATTGAAAGCGTCTAGAATGATGTCCAACAATTACACTTAGCATCTGTATCCCACATGTGTGTACGTGCGTGCTAAGTCGCTTCAGTTGTGTCCGACTCTTTGCAGCCCCATGGACTGTAGCTCTCCAGGCAAGAACACTGGAATGGGTTGCCATTCCCTTCACCAAGCGATCTTCCCAATCCAGGGATCGAACCTGTGTCTCCCATGTCTCCTGTATTGCAGGCAGATTCTTTACCGCTAGGCCACCAGGGAAGCCCCTGTATCTCACATTTGGTGTCAAATGCTGTGTTGCTGGGAGTGAGGACAGATCCAGTCGTGCTGGGTCTGGATGCTTAAGCCGTGGCAGCTCGGATTCAGAGCTTCGTTGCTGGGGAGTTGCCTGGTCTGAGCTCTGCTGAGACTGTTCAAATGCAGGTACAGATCTGGCCTGGGTGTTGTGGTTGGCTTTGGATTGTCTTTCATGCCCTCCTGTCCTCAAAGGGAAGAAGACTGTTCACTGTGGACACAGGCCTGGCCTCCAGGGCCCGGGCGGCTGTTGCAGCTCTCTGCCCTGCTTCTGGGCCCTGTCCACTCTGTTGGGGAGGGGTCATCGTGGGGACGGGTGCCACCTGCAGGTCCATCCCCCTGTTGTCACAGGCCAGGCCAGAGGCCCTGATGACGCCGAGCAGGACTCAGGCTGGAGCAGAGTTTCCTCGGGAGTATGAATTCTTGGTTTAGTGTGATTAAATTTTTATTTGACAGTCAAGTGCTATTAAATCAAAGTCCCACAAGAAAGCTCTCAGGCTTATCTTTGTGTAGAAAGCAATAGAAGGGTGAGTGACTAATCCTCACCAGAAGTTGGCTGTGATGTTTTATATGTATGCCATCTTACTAACGTGTAAGATTACCTGGAACGTGTTTTTTAAGTGATGCGTTGTTAAAAACTTAAAATTCAAGTACATAAAAATACCAGTAGTTAACTTTGATATATATCCTGCTTGTCTTTACAATTTTACAAAGTTAGGGTTACGGTATGTGATATTTTGTAACTTTCCTTGTTCATGTCACACTATCTCATGAAAATGAGATATTTCTATGCTTCTATCACATTTATATTACATCATTTTACATGACTTCTAGTGATCCATTGAGAGGACAGGGCAGAGACCCTAGAGTCAGACTCTGGGTGCATACCTCAACCTTGCCTCTTATCAGCTGGGCAAGTTATTTAACTGCTGTGCATCTCCCCCTAGTCTTCTGTAAAACGGGGAGAATAATCATACCCCCTCTACTGGTCTGCTTTGAGAATTAAATGAGGAGATAGATGTTGAGTGCTTAGAATAGAGCCTTGCATAAAGTCAACACTTACTATATAGCATTATCTCCTCATCATCAGCGGCATTCCATGACTGAACCATCTCTACTGACCCCTCTCCTGATATTCTTGCAATTAAATCCTTTCTGACCCCTAGAGTTACTACTTTTGGATCAGTTTCTAAAAGTGGAATTTCTGGGTTAGAGAGCAAACGCAGTTAGAGGCTTTGGATATGTATTGCTGAATTTTCCTCCTTTCTCAGAATTCACTCCTACCAGCTTTTCTCGGCTAAATTTAAAAAAACATTGAGCTTGGCTTCCTTCTAATATCCTGTGTGTTCTGGGATCTTTCCCTTCCAATAATGGGGAATATAAGCTCATATAATATTGCTCTAGGGCGAGTATAATTAGGGAAATGAATTAGCCACAAAATGACTTCCATAAAACATGCCACAGTCAAATAAAAAAACAAGGCTGTTTACCTGCCACTTGGTATTTCCCGTGCTCGCCCTTCTCTCCATTGATCAAGAATTGTTCATGTGTGGGAGAAAGTAATATGAAATGTGAGACTGTAGTCCCCCATCTCTCTTCCCCTCCAACCAAAGTTAACTTCCAGACATACTGGAAGAAAAAAATTTAACCTGCAGCAGCATGATAGGAAATGTACATGAAATTAACCATATAACTTGTAAAACATTAGATTGGTCCTTTTATTCTATGTTAATGTGAAAATCACTCATGTTATTGCATTTACTTTTACATTTACCATGACAAAACTGTTTTAAGTTGGTGTATACAGAGATGGGATCCACAGTGTTTGCTCCCAGACCTGGAAGTGAGAGCTCTGTGGCCCGGGTTCCTTGTTCAGCAGGCCTGTCCTTACCAGTTGCTCCGTGATAATTCAGTTCTCCCACCCATCGTCTTGGTCAGGTGGTTGAGACCTCACTGCCCAGCATGACCGTATCATTGCTAGATGAGGCCTGCTTTTGTGTTGTTCTCAGCAGTCCAATCACCTGCATTAGATGATAAACACGAATGCAGACATGAACGTTTAAGCCATATGACCCAACACAATTATGAGGAAGGTATTTGATTGATTCTGAATATATTCAGTTTAGAATCTCATTATTGTTACCAAATGCAAGTTTGTGTGCCTGACGCACAGTGAGACCAAACAAACCAAAATGGAGTTTGGAGCAGAGCAAGATTTATTGCAGGGCCAAGCAAGGAGAACTGGCTATGTGTGAGGGTGGAAAGGTCTCATGCTCAAAATACCCCGAGTTTCAGCAAAGCAATTTTAAAAGCCAGATGAGGGACGGGGGATCTCAGGGTATGTGACCCACTTGTGCACAGTTCTCTGATTGATTGATGTTGGGGTAACTGAATGGGTAACGTTATCCTCAGGCTCCCATGGGTCTGGGGTCTCATAATCATCAGGTAGTTAATTTCTTCCATTTGGTGGGGGTTTTAGCATCTGCAAAGCAGCTCGGAAATGTGTGCATCAGACACCATTACCTAGGCACTTCAGAGACGAGCTCTAGCAGAGGATATGGGGTGGGGGGGTCTGTCCCAGGAAGACCCACAGGGTCCTGCACAGTTATATTAGGGGCACAAAATGTGAAAATTCTCATCAAGAATTCCAGGTCTCTGAAAATACATCTTAGGACCCTAGAGCTATGCTCGAGAGAAGTTGACTCGGTTTGCAGACACTGTCCCAAGGTATTTCTGATAATTATTGGCATTCCCAAAAGAAACGTGGGTTATATTTTTATCATTTCTTTGAACGGAACACTTGATTTAGTTTTGTGCAAAGATAGTGGCTTTCAGACTTTTTGACTGTGACCCATTAGAAGAAATACATTTTACATAGTGACCTACGGCGTACATACACATTTAAACACGTGCAAGGAGACAGTTGTTTCTCAAAATACATGCACCACACTGATATTTCTAGTTCTGTTTTATTCTTTAAAATGGTGTTTATGATGGCACTGATGAACCTATGTACGGAGCAGCAATGGAGATGCAGACATAGAGAGCAGACTTGCAGACGCAGCGTGGGAAGGACAGGGCGGGCCGAATGGAGAGAGTAGCGTGGAAACGTGTGTATTACCGGATGTAAAATAGCCAGCCAGTGGGAGTTTGCTGTATACACTGGGAGCTCAACCCAGGGCTCAGTGCCAACCTAGAGGGATGGGGTAGAGTGGGAATCGGGAGGGAGGTTTGGGAGGGAGGGGACGTAATGTATACCTCTGACTGATTCATGTTGATGTATGGCAGAAACCAACACAAGATTGTATAGCAGTCCTCCGATCAGCATTTTTTTTTAAAGTGGTGCTTATGACCCACTAACTTACTTCTACGACCCACAAATGAGTCTGCAGGACCTGCAGTTTGGAAGGCCTGTTCCAGAGCTTTATCACGGGCCTTTATCACAGGAAGCCTGCTGCCTTCCTCTAGGTTTCCGAGCCCCGGGCATCACCTCTGGTCAGCTCTCAGGGCCACAGGGCTGGTCCAGCAGTGGAGGTGGAGCCCCGTATGCTGGCCGCCTGGGCACTTGAGCACTTTGCTCCTGACTGCAGCAGCTGACAGCTCCATCTGAATGGGAAGGTTTAAACAAAGACAATAATTCAATCTGAGTGCCCCTGAATCACATCTTTGTCTCTGCTCTTGATAGAACAGAAGGAAGTTGTTCGTTATGAAGGCTGCCAGCTGCCCGTGGGTTGGTGTATCTGTAGCCAGGCTGGCTCACTGTCAGGTCGAGCAGGTAAAGAGCTGGTTCCCCAGCTGGTGTGTCTCGAAGGAGTGCAGAAAGGGTTTCCCTAAACATGCCTCCTCATTCCCTTGTGCCTAAAATTTTACATTTAGAAGTTCATCCTTTTTCACGCTTAGAAGCTTTTTGGTTTCCCAGCTCAACATAAAAATATCCTTAAGTAAAGGGAATACCTTGAGATTGCATCAGATAACGTTTGATGAGGATTTGGACAGCCACTGAGAGCTGGCGGGCGGCGATGGTGCGGCAGGAGGCGGGGGGCCTCGGGGACTGTGGTCAGAACGGAGGGGCTTCAGGCTTCTGGAAGCTTCTGTGTCTAACGATAATTTGAAAGCTGTTTGAAAGCGTGGTGCTCTTTAACTGTTCTTAAGAGAATTTTATGAAGACCTTGTGGCTTGGAGTGGCTTCAGCAGGGCTTAGAGATGAGGGAACTGATCCAGATGATGACGGATGAGGGATGAGGGGACCCTCCAAAAGTGACCAGAGCTCTTAGGACCACTTGCCACTTGCCACTCAAGGATTATGTGGCCCGTATTTAACACTATAACCCATTGAACACAATGGGTTTGTATTTTCGTTTAACCGATTGCAGACAACGTGACTTAAGTATGCCATCCAAGGTTCCCATTTTATTTTGTCCAATGCCTTCCAAACACCTTGCACATATTTAGCCATTTTAACTTAAATGTAGCTTTCTGCTTGGTCAGATTACCACAATTTGATTGCATGCCAGTTTGCTTTTCCAGTTGTTGGTTATGATGAATTTAGAGATAGAGAAAGACCTTAGTGATCACCTGGTGGCTCGATGTTTTTCAGGCTGTGGTTATCAACCCATTCCCTGGTCATTAAATCGGTCTCATGGGAGTTACTGACAGACCCTGTGGGTTGAATGGGTGGGAATGCGGTAAATATTTATCTTTCCCACCAGGCATTGTGCAACACATGGGTACCCCCCAATGAGCAGCGATATACACAACCGATTTCATAGGATACAGATACATCCTTTCTTTTGTTTGACAAATATGTTTATCAAATTAAGCACCTGTTGTTTTTAGGCACGTTGGGGAGGGGCAGGGGGTACAAAGGTGAGGAAGATGTGGACTCTGCCTTCGAGATGCTCAGGTGGGCAGACAGGCAGAAAAGGTTACTGTGACACAGCGTGGTGGCTGCCCTGATGGGAACATGAAGTTCCCTCCTCCTTTCCTCGGGGGGCACCTGCCCCAGGAGGCCGCACTTTGGAAAAAGCAGCAGTGAACACAGTGAGAAGAAGCTGGAGGTGTACCTGTGAGAAGGACAGATGAACCATCCTCAGCTTCAGAAAACGAGACCTCCTAGTCTTCTAGAAGAAAGGCTTCTAGCGAGCGGCGATAGCTCAGCTTGCTCAGTGCAGTGGGTTGAATGCTGGCCCCCGAATCTCCATCTGTGGCCTAATCTCTGGAGGAGGTGAGGAAGGGATCCTTCCCGGAGCTTCCAGAGGAAGGACTGGCCTGCCCACACCGGGAGTTTGGAGCCTGACCCCAGACCCTTGAGGGAGTAAATGACCGCTGTTTTAAGTCACCAAGTTTGTTGCGGTCTCTGTGGCAGCCCTAGCAAACGTAGGCAGGGGCCGCAGGAGGGAGGGTGTTTCTGAGGAGAACAGGGGCAGGAGGCCTCCTCCTGTGTGGGGAGGGGGCCGTCTGGCCAGAGCAGGGATTTTGTGAAAAGGAGTAACGGGAGACGGGGCTGCACAGCCGGTGTTGGACTCCTGGCCTTTGTGGTGGTCTGAACAATGCTTTGTTTATAAAGGCCCATCTGGTGATTCCTTGTGCTGCCTCTCAGGTGGTGCTCTGAACATCGGATGGCCCGGCAAAAAATACAGGGTGAGGTTTGTTTATTCCTGTGGTGGCTACGCTCTTGTGTGAACACGTGGAAAATGCCACTGTCATGGCGCTGGAGTGACTCCCCTTGTCCTGTTCTTGAACTTCTATTTCTTGTATTTCTCACTGCCTTTTCCTAAAAAAGTTATATTTTTACGACATTTTATTTCCTTGAAATTGTCAGTTAATGTTGAGCTCATTCCTGTGATGTGTAGTGAAAGTGAAGTTGCTCAGTTGTGTCCGACTCTTTGCGGCATCATGGACTGTAGCACCCCAGGCTCCCCTGTCCATGGGATCCTCCAGGCAAGAATACTGGAGTGGGTTGCCATTTCCTTCTCCAGGGGATCTTCCCAACCCTGGGATTGAACTCAGGTCTCCCACGTTGCAGGCAGACTCTTTACCGTCTGAGCCACCAGGGGATCCCTGATATTTAGTGAGCATCTTTAAACCAGATAGATGAAGAAAATCATGTTCCTCATTGTGAAACTAGTCTTTTTGCTCATTTCAGGAATGCAGAAGTTCAGGCTGTAGAACAGACCTCCCCGCCTCATGCTCCTTCTTCTGGAACTGGGCCCTTTGATGCCTTTTTGTTTTCTTTAGTGAGATAGAATTTAGGTGTGAGAACATTTTGGGGTCAGTTTAAATTTTATTTCTTCAGGTTGAGAAATAGCAGCTAAAGGTCTTGTGTCTCAGCTGTCTGTCTGACCCGCACGATATCTTCTTCTATCTTTGCTCCCCCATCAGCCAAATTTCACATACTCTCATGTTTTATGGGTTTAATGATGAGTTTTTAATCACAAAAATAATTCAAGCTTATTATAAAAGTGTCAAATATTAGATTTGAATGTATTGCATGCGTGCATGCGAGCTCAGTCACTCAGTCAAATCTGTCTCTTTGCAACCCCATGGACTGTAGCCTGCCAGGCTCCTCTGTCCTTGGGATTCTCCAGGCAAGAATACTGGAGTGGGCTGCCATTTCCTCCTCCAGGGGATCTTCCCGACCCAGGGATCGAACCCGTGTCTCCAGCATCTCCTGCATTGCAGGTGGATTCTTTACCTCTGAGGCATCTGGAAAAGCCCTTGAATATATTGCTTCTCAGTATTTTAGCTGGCTGCAAAGCTCATTCCCCACTTTGCTATGGTTTGTTCCCCCCCCCCCCATTCATGTGATGAAACCAAACGCCCAGTGTGATGGTCTTCGGAGGTGGGGCCTTTGGGAGGAGATTAGGGTTTGAGATGGGGCCCTCATGAATGGAGTTAGTTCCCTTATAAAAGAGGCCCAGAGACCTCCCTAGTCCCTTCCGTGTGAGGACACAATGCAAAGGCACCATCTGGGAAGCAGAAAGCCAGCTCTCACCAAACAGCAAGCTGGCTGGCACCCGATCCTGGACTCCCAGCCTCCAGAATTGAGAGAAACTGCTGCTCTTTAGAAGCTGCCCACCCTGTGGTATTTTGTCACAGCAGCCCGCGTGGACTGAGACGTGCTTCTCTCCAGGTGTTAGCTTCCTGGGGCTTGTTGCAGCAAATTCTCGCAAAGCGGGCGGAGCAGAGTGATAGAAGCGCGTTCCCTCACAGCCCGGAAGCCGGGGCTCCAGAATCCGGGTGTGGGAGGGGCACCCATCCCAGAGGCTCCCACAGATTCTGTTCTTGGCTCTCCCGGCTAGCTGGGGTGCAGCTGTCTCTTGGCTTGAGGCCACGTCACTCCAGTCTTCGCTTCTGTCTTCACAAACCTTTCCTCTTGCGGTTGCCTGTGGCCCCAGGCACCCTCTGCCTCTCACTTACAAGGAAACGTACGGCTGCGTTCAGGGCCCAGAAGCTGGCATTCACATTGGCCACATGAGGTCATACTGGCAGGTCCCAGTCTTAGGTGTGGACCTAACTTTTTGGGGGGCTACTGTTCAACCCGCTAACCGGTGTTAAAGCAAAGATTCTTGTGACACAGGTTGAAATGGTAAGACAGACTTTATTCAGGAATGTTGTGATAGGTGTCGACTGTTGCTGTAGGGGCGAGGGATTGGTCTCCACACTAAAGGTGACAAGAGCGCTGGGGTTTTATAGCCGAGGAGTGGGGGAGGGGAAGTTGCTAAGGAGAGACATCAAGGGTAGGAGGAGTTCTTGCTAAACTAACAGAGTTCTTACTGAAGGCCGGCCAGAGTGATCAAGCATCACCCGGGGAATGATGGGGGAGGGGATGAGGAACTCAATCAGGTATTGAGGGTGATCAAGTATTAAAGTGGGGATTGTTAAGGGTCCTAAGCTGACTTGGCAGGATTCTTGCTAAAACTGGGCTTTGCAGGCCGGATAAGGATGGGGGAACCACTGTGAGCTTGATTAGGAGAGAGTCTTTGTCACAGTTCTGTTAAGCAGTGTTTTCCAGACTCAGAAAGACCATAAAAGCCAACCCAAATTCTCAACAACGGAGCTCGTGCCCCAGGGGGAGCGTCACGCTGCAGCTGCCTGATTGGAAAAGTGCAGGGTTCTCCTCTCTCGCCTCCGCAGGCCCCTTGCCCTGTGGGCCTGCTGCCTTGTGTACCAGGGTCCGTCTCCAGGACCCTCTGCTCCCCGCTTCCATGCCAACCCGGCCCCACCTGGCCCCTCTGCCCACCCCGCGCCTTAGAAAGCAGCACCTGCCTCTCCCTGAATGTTATTGTTTGGATTCAACCCATGAGGGCTGATGTTAGGGAACTCATTGTGACATCAGAGAGAATTTTAGATAAATCACTGTGTGGGAAGAGGAAACCGATTGCTGCTTTGGGGCCCAGCCTGGAAACATTTGGCAGCTGATAAGAAGCCCCGCGGTCATTCTAAGGTCCTGCATTGGCAAGAACCCCGTCCGTGGCTTGGGGGTGGGGCAGAGCGGGTCTGACTTCAAGCCTGCTATCCATCGGGGGAGGCTGTCTGGGGAGCTCTTCCATTGCAGGAGAGGACGGCTGTGTCTTCACAATGACCGCATCCCTCTGGGTAGGACCAGTGGAACTGCGTCCAGCGCTGTTGTTGGACTCACATCTGGGCAGGTGGTTGCCGGTCTGTGTCCTGCCCTGGAGACAGGTAATAAATCATTAAAGGTATTTACAGGTAGTAAATAAATGTCCGCTCAACAACTCCCTAAATAGCTCCGCTTGTGCTCCGGGGACCAGGAGGCCCTGCTTCACCGTATTTTCCAGGACTTCCACAGGCGCCTTTTTCTACTACAGGATGAGACAACAGTGGTTTTTTTCTTGTCAAACTGAAACTCTCTCTTCTTGGGCTTTTCAGGAATTCAGTACCCTAATTATACTGCATTCAGCTCATGTTTATTGAACCCAGCCCAGTCCTGTGGTTCGTCTAGGACACTTCTTTTTTTTTATCTCATTTAACCTTTTCCTCCCTCCAAGTTACAGGTATTATCTCCATTATTTTTTGTTTTTTGAAGGAAGAAA